CTATGTGCTCACTGCACTCCACCCTTTCTCTCCCACTGATCTTAGATGCTGCGGTGTCCTTCCCCACTACAGCTGAGTGAGGCTGCTATGCTACAACTTGCCCTGAACACTACTCAATTTCTTGGTAGCCAGAGGAGTTACTGGTCATTTCTCACATCATGTTTTTAGCTTCTAACATCTCCTGTTCTCTCATTAACTAGGCTGCTACCCTCCAATTATCTAGGGCAGAGTAATTACTTTTCAGCCTGTTATTTTTATGTCTCCATGTCTTTCTGTCCAGCTATTCTACCTTACCTTTCTAACATTGTATAGACTTCCAAATCCTCCTTTTACTTTTCCAAATTAGTACTTAATTGATATCTCAGGAAGTGAGATTACAGAGTGGTTACACACACAGGTTTTAGAGACTAATTATATAGGTTTGAACTCCAATGCTCCCTTTCCTAGCTGGGGGATCTAGGGCAAGTTATTTAACCACTGAGTCTCAACTTTTTCATTGGTCAAATGGAGATGATCACAGTCCTTCCTCTTGTGCAGTTAATGTGAAGAGTAAATGAAATAAGTAATTTAAAACATTTAGCACAGACATCAAGTCAAAGAAAATGCTTTGTAAATGTTAGCTTTACTAGTATTATCTCCTCTACATTCTTCCACTCATCATCTTCTTTTCCCCACTTGCCCTTTATACATTTTTCCCATCTGTATAAAGATTATACAGACCAAACAATTAAATTTCCCATTATGTAGAGTTGTCATTGTTACCTTAATCATGACCTCACATCACAAAACTAACATAACTTCCTAACTTCAAAATTCATACCCCATTTTTTCCCAGCACTGTTCCCATGACCTTCACTAAATCATACAGTTTCCCCTCATTCTCAATGAACCATCTGTACTTTAAAATTTGTTAGGGTGTTGTAACAGATCTATTTTTAAGGGAATTAGAAGACTTTCTTTTCTACCTGTAAGCATCTATTATGCTCAACACATATTCTACAGAGCAGAACAATTTAAAATATAAATAAAGGCACTAATTTCTATTTAACCATTTTCTTATAATCCAAAAAGCTAGCTCCATTTTAAGAATGCTGTGTTGATTAATCAATCCATGTTACTTCCAAAGAAAGCTTCAACTCAATTTGAGATGCCTCAGTGTACATCAGGGTTGTATACCTGTATATGTAACAGAATAATATTCATTTTTTGTCCCTGTTCTCACCACTCAGCAAAATTAGAATTTATCTTTCTCTGAGGTTTGAAAATAAACAAAAACCAAACAAACATTCAGCAAATAAAAAGTTATTTGCTCAACCTTTTTTTTAAACAGTTCTCTTCTCTACTCTGTTCAGGATATTGCTGTCATACTGACTGCCCTTCACATTGTCATGGTTGTTAGCTGCCACTGAGTGGACTCTGACTCACGGTGAGTCCAGGTACAAGAGAATGAAACGCTGCCTGGTCCTGTTCCTTCTTCACATTTGTTGGTATGCTCCAGTCCAGTGTTGCTGTCACTGGGTATTTTGAGTGCCTTCCAGTCTAAGAGGCTCAGCTTACAACACTATGTCAGATAATATTCTCTTGTGAGATTCAGAGTTTTCATTGCCCAGGTTTCAGAAGTAGATTGTCAGGCCTTACTCCTCAGTCTGGAAGCACCATTGTAATTTGCCTACCAGGTAACCTTGTTGGTATCTGAAATACCAGTAGCTTCCAACATCACAGTACAATAAACTGACACCATACCTGTTGCTTCATCTTAATTTTAATATTGTATGTTTCCCTTCTCTTATTGTGGGCCACCAAGATACCTTTTAAGCACATGTACCACTATGACCAGGCTTGGCTTTCTCTTTGCAGGTGTTGTTGTCTCGCCCTCTCATTTGTTTGCTAGGTTTCTATTTACCACCTACAAACAAATATCCATTGAGTATTGACTATGTGTTAAGGACTATACTATGAATGTAGCACTGTTCTTAAAAGGGTTCTAAGTGAGAAGGCTGATAATAACCTGGGCAACCTTCCAATACAGTCCTTCTCTTTACTTAAAGATCATTAGTAAACTTAGTGATCCATTACATTTGTCTACTTTTCGATTTCTTTATATGGTGAATTCCCTATTTTCTCAGGCTTCTAAATGCAATAATATGCCTAGTTAAAAACCCATCTTCTGTAGTTCTAATTTATAGGAAATACAGGAGATAGAAACTCAAACCAATCCAATGCCATCAAGTTGATTCTGACTCGTAACGACCCTAAAGGTCAGAGAAGAACTGCTCCATACGGTTTCCAAGGCAGATTGCCTCACCTTTCTTGTGGAATGGCTCATGGTTTAGAACCACTGACCTTTTGGTTAACATCAGAATATCTACTGTGCCACAAGAACTCCTTACAGGAGACAGAGGAGCATGTCAAATGACATCTTGAAGAGACGACCAAAAGGTAATCCAGAAGGTGGGAGCATTTCGTGTGTCAAATGGCCCATTTCTTCAACATGTCATCAATAAAAGGGATTAAGCCAGAATAAAAGAAAAAGGACAAAACATGCAGGTACAATGTTGTGTTCTGGATTGGACACTGGATTGGATGAGCCAGCCATAAATGATATGTTTAAATAATCTGGGAAAATCTGAATATGATCTGATTATTAGGCAAAATGAAAATTACTGAAATGGAAAGGTAAAAATCATTTATTAAAAACAGCAGGTTGCAAAACAATAATATACAACTTGTGACTGAAAACTGTATACACACACCCCCACACCCACACACATGCATATATGTATTTTCAAAAAACAATATGAAAAATGTGTTAAAGTGTTACCAGCAGTATTATCTGAGTAGTGAGAATGTGATACTATAATTAAAATAATTTTTTATGGCTGTAAAATTAAAAAGCTATTTTTTTTCAAAAAAAAAAAAAAAGACTCACTTTTCCCCAGAAGCTTATAGAAGAATTTTCACACCCACTGATCAGCTCGGACTCTACAAAGATTGTGGCATATCGTATTGCACAGTTTATGCTAAACTACTACATTTGATTCGGTTCTCTAATGTCATTTGGGTGTGGCCCTTGTTCCTTTGACTTTTTTGGTACTCCCAAATCACACCTGGAAGACTATTTATTACCTTCATGAGTATAATACTTATGTTAACTAATACATACATGCTATCAACATGACAACAACACACACAGAAAGAATGAATGTGAAAATTTCATAGACTCTTGTTAAAATAAAGCTCAGCATTACATGAATGTGTCTGTACCATACAAGGCATTTTCCCCCAAACACAAGAGTTACACTATTGTTATTGTTGTTGCTATGTGCCGTCGAGTTGGACCCAATTCATAGTGACCCCTCATTGGGTTTCCAAGGCAGTATCACTACGGAAGTAGATTGCCCAACCTTCCTTCCAAGGAGTAGCTGGTGGGTAGAAAATCCTATTAATACCACAATTAATCTATAAGCCTAATCAACCTATTCTGCAATATTAGTAGGCTAGTTAAACACATATTACGTTCATATAATTCTAATGTTTACTTAAAAATTTTTCAAAATCTTTGCTAATTACAGAGAACAACAGAAGTTCTGTAAGATATCCAGAAAAGTATATACATCTTTATTTTGATATGATCTTAAAACTTCCTGAAAATTACAGGTTAAGAGAATGTATCATTATGGATAATGAAACTGTTATGAAGATGAAAAAATTATAGGTAATGAAACTAGAGATATTTGTCTCACTTCTTGGAAGACTGATAAATAGGAAACCCAAAGCAGACAAGCCAATAAATGTTTATGTTAATGACTCTTTTCTAAAACATGCTTCTTAAAGGAACATGAAATTGAGAGCACACATACCATAAACTCATTGCTGTCGAGTCGATTTCAACTCATAGCGAACTTGTAGGACAGAGTAGAACTGCCCCATAGGGTTTCCAAGGCTGTAAATCTTTACGGACGCACACTGCTTCATCTTTCTCCCAAGGAGCAGCTGATGGGTTCGAACCACCAACCTTCTGTTTAGCAGCCAAGTACTTAAGCGGTGCACTACCAGGGCTCAAACTGAACACAGGTGACTTCAATTCAAAGCTCTGTCTAGGCAACAATTAAATAAGTTTCCTAAAAATCTATTAAAATGGAACAGTACAGATAATTCATTCTCAGGTTTCCACTTCAGACTCTGAACCTCACCTCTGGTACCAAGAGACTGGAACACTCTTCACCTTATATCAAAAGGACCGTCAATAGAAATTCATCCATTGAATTATGAGCAGCGAGTTTTGTATTCTCATTAAAACCTCATTTTGCTTTTACTCTGTCTCTTTTACTCTTTGGGCTTATGTTTTCTTAACCTAAGTTGATTTCAGGTTCTCTCCAAAAATTACTGTCTCCTTAATTATTTGAGTTGGCTGAAACACGAGGTCCTCTTTCAGAACTGATATATCAAGTTGTAAACGGTTCCCTAAAGTTGGGCTTGCATGTTCAGTTTGAGAAAAAACTCACGTTACTCCACACAGATGGGGCCAGTTGCTGAGAATATTTTTAGTAAAAGATGAACTGGATGAACAGCTATTAAGTGACTTTCTGATAATAAAATATTTCAATTGGTTATATTCTGATATACTCTGATACTCCAAAAATGTTTTTGAGTTCATAAAGTACCTTTCTGCCCCAAGGTTTAAAAGTTTCACTCAAACATAAATCCATTAATCCCCCAAACAGCCCTATGAGTCAAAGGAGCATATTCTAACTCTGCATACAAAATACTTCCAGAATGAGCTTATAAATCAGTCATGTTTTCAGCCATATGCACAGAGAACTACAATTCTCCATGCCTCCAACAGAAAAAACATGGAAATACCTTATAGAGATTGCTTTTTAATAATCTCATGTAAACATTTTAAAACTGAAAACATTTTTTTTGCTGTTAAAAAGCTACATTTTAAAAATAAGTATGTGACAGATATGAGGTTGTTATAAATTCTGAAAATGACTTACCTATTAATGTAACTGAGGGCAACATAGGTTGGCTGCTGTAATTCTTGTTTTTCTAAAACACGTGGATCAGTATCTGTAATAAGAATACAGTTATGATTTTCCAGCTTTTGCATCAGAATATATGAGGCTACATAACATAAGCTAACAGAGGCTAAACAGAGAAAAAGATTAATTTCATGTACCTCTTTGTAAAGAAAACTCCATCAGCAAAGCACAATCATTTGTTCATTCGTTCATAAATAACAAGATATTGCATTACTTTTCAAGGGAATTCCAAACATCAACAGTGATAAAATGCCCATCTGTCACGCAAACTCTTGCACAATCCCCCTCATAAATATTGGTTTTCACTGCTTACAGTTACAATGTTGGCATGGTTTTCGATGGTTAATCGGCCCAAGAAAGAAAGTCTCTGTTAATTGTGATCACTTCAATGCTGGAACAAATTAGTTGCCACTGGAAAGCTCCATCAATTCGAAATTCTACTGAGTATTGTTCTTGTTCACAGAACACTTTTCTGGGTTTGGATTCATTTTCTGGAGGGCAGCTCTTCTCTCCTTCTTAAAGGTATAATGAGTTTATAACTTTTGTAGACTCACAACCAGAAATTTTCATATTGGTCCAGAGTCAATAACTACAATGACCAGAGGGATTTTCCCTTTGAAGTGACAGGGAGTGTTGTCATGGTATTGGTATCCAACTGTGCTTCCTCAGCATAGTACACATGAAAAAGGACTTTTTGTAGCTAGAAATGCATTCTCAAGCTTCTCATGTAGAGAAATCGTTGTGATAAATATATTTTAAAAATAATGTTTATATAATAAGAATATAAAAGGAAGAAAGTGAGCTCATTTTTATATTTTCTTACAAAAAGGTTCAGACATTTAACACAGATTTAATTATAGCCTCATTTTAAACCATCTCAGAAGTCTTCCAGCTGTACTTGGCAATAATAGCTTCTTTGATGTAATGACAGATGTTGTTTCAAGCATGTTGGTAAAGGAAGTGTTTACTGCAAGTGGTAGATGTAAGAAACATACAATAACTTGAAAGTGCATTAACAGGTGGTGGGTGTGGGGGAACAGACACAGTAGCATAGAGCATGGGTGGCAAAAATGATAGCACAAAAATCAATTTAGAATGCTCTCAATGCCCCATTGCAACAGTAGTGCCAATTTTATTCTTGGTGTTAAAGTTAAGAATTTCATGTTCATTTTATTGTTTTTCCTATGCCAAGAATTTCAGGGATACTATTCAGAAATCCTGTTTCCTGAGTCTTTGCCATCACCACTTTGCCTGGATTCCTGAAGACCTAATTCCTAACATGGGAGCTCTGGTGGCATAGTGTCTAAGGCATTTGACTGCTAACCAGAAGCCTGGCGGTTCAAACCCATCAGCCACTCCTTGGAAGGAAGGCTGGGCAATCTATTTCCATAGTGATACCACCTTGGAAACCCAAGGAGGGGTCGCTATGAGTTGAATCTGACTCCCTGGCAGGCAGTGAAGTTTTTTTTTTTTTCTCTTTTGGTTTAATTTGTAACAAGAGACAAAGATTCTCTGAACTTTCTATCAAGTCAGATCTCAAGGTTTTGGCACTGCAGATGAGAAAAGATCAACAGTAACATTTCCTCTTCTGCCTCCAACGATTACATATGTGACTGAGGCAGTTTTGGGTGACTGTCCCATACATACAACCAGCAGGTCTCTAAATACCCAGAACCCACTCTTCTAAGGATACTTATTTTTCAAACACAACCTTTACTCACACAAATCCAAGTTCACTAAGATCCCAAAGTATGTTTCTGAGAGTACTGCTCTGTGCATTTGATCTGCACTCATAGGAGAGGAGTCAATAAAACAAAGCTCAACAGAGAAAAGTATTCTGTTCAAAAACACCACCTAGTTGAATGCTGGGCAGATCATGTATGCAAACGGTGAGTGACATACCAATCCTGAAAGGTCTTTCCAGGTGGTTAACAATGTAAGAAACAAGAGATTGGAGAAACAGCCCATGGAAATGAAAAGAAAGAAGAAAGCTAAGAAGGAATAAGGCAATGATTGCAATTGTCTTTGTAGAAAATTTCTCATGTGCTCACAAAATGGTGTGTCAAGTTTAGGAATTGGTCAGGAGGTTTAGCTTTTGAGAAGGGCCTGAACTTGATTAATTGAAATACATTCTTTCAAAAGAGACATTCTGCTACATGATTACATTGGGTATATGATTTTGAAAGAAAACAGCACTGCTTTAAGTGTAAAATACATATATAACGGGAGAAAGAGTGAAGTGGACAACAAATATTTTTATATCTTTCACTTTTGTTTTTATTTTTGTAATTGACACCCAATTTAACAGTATTCCCACAAACCATCTTCTAAAGCTTTCCTTTGTTTCCAAATACTACACTTTTTAAATATTTTAAACATTACCTTTCCAAGCTATCTTGATTTTTTTCTTTTATTAGGTGTATGTTGTATGTGCACAACTGAGTGTATGTGTACACACACATACATACATTTGTATTATTCTTTTCTTCTTTAAGCTAACAGTACCTCTTTGAGGGTTAGGGGATTAGAGGAAAAGAGAAAGAAGCATCTTATATAAAATCCTACAGTTTTCTGATGCTCAAAATAAAATGGTCTTGGCTGCTGACATTCACATACAAATTGCATCTTGCAATTTTGTTTCACAAAAAAATTCAATAAAGTTCAGTACAGGCAGTCCTGGTTACAAATGAGATCTCTTCCTAAGTGTGTCTTTGAACCAAATTTGTAGATAAGTTGAAACAGGGGCATACAGTTATTATTTAGCCTTACTTTAGTGCAAGGAAAGGCACTCTGATGGCGCCGTGCCTAAAGCATTTGACTGCAAACCAGAAGGTTGGAGGTTCAAACTCACCAGCTACTCCGTGCAAGGATGATGAGGCAATGTACTTCTGTAAAGATTTACCACCTTGACAACCCAGTGGGGGTTACTATTAGTCAGAAATGATTCACTGGCAGTGGGATTTGGGTTTAGTGCAAGGAAAGGCTTGAAGCAGGTGTAGCAAGTGAAGGTGATTGTGGTGAAGAATTTGTTGCAAGTTTGGGTTGGTTCAATCATTGCAAAGTGAAGCCAAATTTACATAATATTAAAGGGCAAGTAGAAGTTGTCCCTAAGTCCATGTTTCTAATCCAGGGACTGCCTGTCTCTATTTGCAAAGCAAGGTTTAGACATTTGATTTTCTTACTTTGCTTCATCACTCTCCATGACTCATGCTAGATTTATGCTCACGTGTCCTCAAATTATGAGCAGTGAACTGACTTCTTGAAGCTTCTAAACACCACCCTCTCCACGACAAGGAGACCATCTGGAAGCACCTCAGCCAGGTTTCTCCTCTTTTTCTAGAATGCAGATCCTGTTAACCAAGAAAGTGGAAGCTTTGGACAGATGTCCACCAGGCCAAAAACATCTTTTTCAAATTCAGTGTTTCCCTGAGGAATCTTGAGAACCTCAATTAAAGCTCTGAATTCTTAAAACAAAATTAGGCACTCGGTGTCCACAAATCAAGATAGGCCCGCACAAGTGCTACTGGAGGAAGAACCACTGGCTGCTGGTCGCAAATAGGCATCATCAGTTCCAACACTTGCTTCCCGGCTGACTGGTGTGCGGTGATCATGACACTTCACACTCAGTAAAAGTACAGTAACCGCCCTCATTACTTCTACCTCCCTGATAAAAAGTAACTGCTGCTAAAAACTGTCCACAGGAGAGGAATAAAGAGATGAGAGACTTGCATTTTCACAGGATGGTCTGCAGGTTCTGCACAATGATTCCTCACCAGGATTAAGGAAACAGAATGAACTGGAAAGATTAACACCGAGTTAAATTCAACGATAATAACAAAGAACCCCAACTTCCTTATACCATGTGCCACACTACTGAGAAAATTTCTGCATATAAATTGGTACAATAAGAAATGCAGTGTGGATTGGAATGGCTCTAGTACACAATCTCCCAGATACTTCTCTGGTTTCTTTCTTTATGGCACCAGTACAAACTTGGAACTGGAATTGTCTACAATTGCCCAGAGATATAATCCACCTCAGTAAATAAATGGTTCATGGAGTAGAAAACTAGAATTTTTCATAGTCATATGATGCTCCTTAAGCTGGCACAAGTGGGCAAGAAAGCTAGCATTTATGTAACAAGGCTGTCTACAGCACACATAACACTCTACCACTTTTAGATCACTAAGAATTTATGAGAAGATAAACCCTAACTTTATCAGCAGAGTAGGGTAGAGCCAAACACAGCACCAAGAGAGATAATGAGAATGTTCTCCTGCCTTGTGTCACCCTTGCAGATTCACAGATTTCAAGTTGACTGAAAGCTAAAGGAATTGAAATATTAAAGTGTATTTATAAATATCCAAGCAATAAAAACCTCTCGTTTTCCTCAATGTTTCAAAAACACAGCATCCTCTAAACTAAACAGTAATGTGCCTCTTCTACTTATTGTTATCTCGAGGAAATATTTGAACGTACAGCTCTACAATGATTTGCCCACATAACACTGGACACAGAGTGGAAATTTTCTGTAGTTCACATGGCCCTAGTGACTCATGGCTTTATAGATTCAATTAAATGGCAAAGGGCTTGATGTCATAGCATTAACTTCTTTGCTACTCAAGTGTCAAGGAAACAGCAAGGCAGATGGCAGAAATAAGGCACAAGAAATATGTACATTCAGGTCCTTATAGGAACAGAAATTGCAATGTGCCCAAGGAAAGGTAAACAACACAAACAACACAAACCTGTTCAATCAATAAGGACCATGTTCATTGGCTCTGCAGTCTCCATACTCGGGAACCAATGGCAACTGAGTGTTTGGATCTGCAAGGTTTCTAATAGCCTTTTGTAGTGCTATCTTCAAGACTAAATAAGAGCTCAATCAGGGCTGTTTGCTGGGTTAACTCAGGCTAATTAATGAGCTCATGAGCTTTGGCTATGTTTTCGCTAGTCTGCATTGTTGAGATTTATATCCCTGGAACTATTTACAATTTAGAAAAGTCAGAAACCAGCCACAATTCCTCT